ACAGAGCAGACGTCATGCTATGCGGCAACCAACTCGATGTGAAAGTTGGACTCAATGGCATCTAAAGAGAGGCCTTTCCAACAAAAGGGTCTATGATTCCAGAAGTCCCTGTTCAATGGGCTTTTCATATTAATTCAGATAATCTATCAGGAATTGTGACTCCAGAAGGGTCATACTTGTGGGATTTTGTTTATTTGTTCTATTTTTGTTGATTTTATAGAAGCCAAACTCTTCTAACTGCTGTGGCCTCTAACCCCTTCTTTGTTTCTGATTCTGTTGTTTTCACGGTCTGGGATGTTGAAATAATGCCATTCTGGGTTAAACTTCCCAACAGTTCTATACCCACAAAGGTGCTTTACACCTGAGATGTTACTCCAAAGGTAAAGAGAAAAAGGAACGCAGTATTGACTGAGGTTTAAACGAGATGTTGAGAACAATTTCCTGATGGGAGAATTTGCGAGACACTGGAGTGCATCCTGAACCTGGGCCCTGGACTGTGTCCTCTGAACTCTCCTGGGTCTTTTAAGCACAGACTTGCCTGGAGATAACAAAGTGGGCAGATATCCCTTAAGATCCCCCTGATCCTCTTGATTTTATGTAGAAACACTCTAAAAATAGAATCATGGTGGGCAGGGAAAGAAGAGAAACATCAGGAGGATGAAAGAAACGAGAAAAAGTAGAAGCAGCAGGCCCTTTGGGGGGTGGGGTGGGTGGAGGTTGAGAAAAGCAGAATGTGATGGGAAAAAGTCAGGGAACTGCACTGAAACATGGTAAGAGGTACTTGCTTAGCAAATAGACATCGTTTAATCATGAAATGTTTATGGATGAATACATGAATAAATGCATTATTCATCTGCTCCACTCCCATTTTACAGGTGGAAAACCTGAGATATAATATGACTTGCCCAAGTCCCTGCTGCTAACAGGTGTCAGGGTAGGAAGTGGAGTTGGCCCACGAGAGAAGCAGTGTGGCGCTGAGCAGAGGGAGGAAGGTACTTGACCCCAGCTGATGCTGCGTGGGGAGGACGTGCCCTGGGCAGTGGCCTCAGAAGGAGACAGGTTGAGACCCCAGTCTCCTCTAGCGCTGCTCCAGCTGCCCAGGCCTGGAGTAACTGGGGCAGCAACATGGAGCCGATTTCTGCAAAGGGCCTCATGGGTCCTCCCTGACCCTTTCTTTTCCTCAAGGGCAGCAGAAGAACCAAACCCTGACCTGAAATCGTCCCTACTCCTCTTGGGAGCCATGTAAAACTTCTGCTGGGTTTGGAGGCTGGGCCCCTGGCCTTCCCTCGCTTTCTCTGTCTCCTCACTCCTGAGTTTCCAGAATTCAGTCCCCCAGAGTTTCTCTCCTCCTTCAAGAAAATGGAATCTGGGAAAGGACGAGTGTTCCTCCCACGTCCAGTGCAGGCAGGATCAGTTTCCTGCAGACGACCTGCCTTTGAGAATATCCAGCAGATTTCCATAAACGCCCCTGCCCTTTCTTGTCCCCTTTGGGGGAAGATGGGACTTCCTATTTCGTCTCTCCCTCTGTCCTAGACCCTGCTCACCACCATCTCACATGGGACATCTGAGCTGGAGTCCTCTGAGTCGTCAGGAAGCCTTCTGCCTGGGATGCTGTTTCTCTCAGTACTCCTTGGTCCTGATCCCAAGCAGTATGGGCTCATCATGGAAGAGAGCCGAGGGGAGGGCAGCACCGCTGGGAAGAGGGTTCAACATCTGCCAGTGAGCTCTGTCTTCAGAACCCTTATGTCCCCCTCTGGGAACTGTGCCAATTTTGCTCCGTGGGATATGGGAGGGGACATTGTGCTTCCTTCTCCCTGCTCCAAATGGCACATGGACAGCAGTACAGACAGGCCTCTCATTCCAAGGAGACAGAGAAAAGGAAAGCCTGGACGAGGCAGCATGGGCATGCAGACATGGCCCTTCATCCTACCCAGAGCTCTTCTCCAAGCCCCGGAGAGCTCATGTGTGTTCATGCTCATCAGCTGATCCTGGGCTTCAGGGCCAGGGGTTGGGCTGGAGGAGGGAGCTCAGAAGAGACGGTGGTCTTCCAAAGAGGGGACGCTCTGGGAGGAAACCATGTTCCCGCCCTCAGGATGATGAAAACAATCTTCATTCCTGTCTTAGTCAACACAGACTCCCATTCCTCAGGGCAGCAGTGTCAGGAAAGGAGAAGGTGGTGCTTGGTTTTATGAGCCCCATGGTATTGGGGGACGGGGTGGCGGGGTGATGAATGAGCCAGAGGTCTGCAGACATGCACTGGGGGTATGGATAACACATTTCCTGACGTGTGGGAAGCCAGATGCGTGCTCAGTTAGATCACCAGCCACACAGGCTGGGAATTAGGCCTTGCTTTCCAGTTGGTGCCACCACCTAGGCTGTCCTTGAATAGTACACATTTCATTTATTGACTAAGCTGGGCTGAATATTCTGGAATCTGCTGTTGCTTGTTTTCCCTGCTTCTCTTGGGTTTGGCAGAGTCACTCTGAGAGCAAGCTGAGCAACCACCTTGCCCGCCATCTTGTCCAGAACATCTGCAGTCGCCCGCCCAGACCCCAGCAGCTAAGCGCAGAGCCTTTGGGAAGCTCCCTGCTCTCCTTACATTTTGACTATGGAAGATGATGGCTTACCTGCTAAGTGAGCCAACGCTTCACAACCAGGCCTCCCAGACGTTCTCTCGGGGGTTGACGCACCTCCAGTTCAGTTGCCCCGGGGAGGGGAGGACCGGTCTGTATACCTCAGCAGCTGACTCTCTCCCCTAGTCTGGCTTCCTACTCTCCATGTGGTGGGAGCAGTCACTAGAACTGTTCTGTATATGATTAAGTGAACCTGCAAGTACGATGTTTTAATGGTTTTCCTATCACAACCAATCCTGTGCCAAGTCTTTCTCCAACTCCTAATGCTTTAAACAATTTTTATTACAAAAATAAGAACACACACCATTCAGGTAAAGCTCTAACTCCTTCAAGCGCTCTGCATTTTCTCTCTGGCATCATTACTGCTTATGACACTTTCCAATTTAGTGTCTTTTGAGAATTTAGTTAATGTGCTGTTTACCTTCCTCTTTCCAGATCAATCAGGAACATTTTGAATACAGTTAAGATCTTCCTTGGGTTCCACCCAAATCTTTCTCCTATCAGTGATAGAGTGATGTCCTGATTAACTATTTGTGACAACTGGATTCAGTCAGTTGGGAAATGACTGAGCTCATATGTACAACACCCTGACATCTTCCTCTAGCAATGTCGATGATACATACACTATACACTTATGAAAGGATCCCCCATAATGACGGATGTGTAATATTTTAATGTGAGATGACATCTACAATTTAAAGTATTCCAGTGGGAAAAAAAGATGGAACCAATATGGCAAAGTGATAGCAACTCCTGATTCTCAGTGATGGGCACAGGGGCTCTCATTCTGCTTGTGGCTTTACTTTTCTGTATGTTTGAAAATTGTCCTAATAGAAAGAGCTTATTCCCAGATGTTCTAATTCCAGGAATTATATTTAACTGGGGGTGGGGAACATCGGAGGCTGGCCCCGGAGGGGATGAGAGTGAGAATTGCTTAATCCTCTGAAGTTTATGATCATTACCTTAACACCTGGTAGAAGCAGGGTGTGATGATAGCAAACCCCAAAGAGTAATCCATTGACATCCTCTATCATTAACACCTTCCATGCACACATGGTTCTCTAAAAGATCTAGTTCTCAATCTTTTTACCTCAAGAATGTTGGGGAGAGAGGGAATAGTCACCAGGAAAGTTTTTCTTTTCTTGAAGGTCATGCGATTTTCTGGTAACCAATTGGTACCAGTTTTCTTTACCCAAAAAAAGGACAAAAAAAAAGTTTATCAATTACTTTATAAGTACTGTCATTTAGTTCCTCAACAGCAAATGCAGACTTGAGGGAATCTTTTTCTGGATTGCCACTTACATTGTGACATTTATAAATTTTTTTTGTATTATCTAACATAAAAAGAAATCACCATTTTTATTATCCCTCACTTGTAATTCTTGTGAAGATTCCATTTTTAAAAGGATTTTTTTTTTTGGAAGGGAAAAAGGTTTTTTACATTATTCTAGAAGCAGTCTTTTTACTCCAAATTATGACTCACTCAATACATTTTTAAAAGGACACTTCAAATCTCCATCCCACCTTTAGATATCAGTTACAAAATTCTGATGTTTGCCTGACCTCACTTCACTTGCTCCTGATCTTTGATATGGTCTCTGTGTATCTTTTAATATGATCTTTAATATTCTGTGAATACTTTGATCTGGCTGAGTTCTTCGCCAGGTGTTCCTGTTGGCTCTGTCCTCTGAGTGGTGTCTTAGGAGATGGCCCCACCATGTGTGGGAGAGAGGGCCTAGGAAGGGAGGTGGGCAAGGCGTAGATGGACTTGCTGCTGCCCGGAGGTGCTCTTCTCAAGAAGTGGTCCTCTGCGCCCAAAGGAATGCTGTTTTCCACTCCAGCTCTGTTGAAAAGGGACGGGACTTGGATTTCGAGTTTGAGAAGGAAGTACTCAAGCACAGGGGGTCAGTTTGGGTGGAGTAAATCCTTGTCACCATGCTGGCAGCTCAGATGCCTTGGCGAGGGCCCTGCAGGCACCAGCGTGGGCTCTGAAGGCAGATCCCAATGGATCTGAACCTGGATCTTCCCCTACGAGATCTGCTCCATTTCTTGGTTTCCTCATTTATCAAATGGGGAGCCATACAGCACTGACGTCATAAGGTTCTTGTGAAGTTTGAAAGTGGTCATAAAAGCAAAAGGCTTTGGACTGGACAGTAAATGGTAGGTTTTATTTAACTACCATTTCATCAATGCCAGGACATTTCCATTTTACCATTAACTCAACTTTAAGCTTTTTCAAGAAAAGGATTTCTCTGTCCTTTCTCCCACTTGTGGACTGTAGTGTTCAAGCTCATCTCCCTTGCCCAAATAAACCTGCTAAAAATCCATTCTCTCTCTCTTTTCATCTCATGAGTCTATATCTTATTATGCTGATTTCTTACTGTGTTGTGATTCCATGTCTGTGCTTTTTTTTTTTTTTTTGGGTCAGTTCTGACCTGATCTCCAAGAAGTAGATAGCAAATATTTCTGTCTTTCTGTCTGAGTTGAATTTCATATTTTCTGAATCATGAAGCTGCCCTCCATGTGACCTAGAGAGCCCTTTGATGATCCATATTTAGCTGTATCCATCACTCAACAGATGTCTAAGTAGCTAAAGGCCCCCATGAGCTCCCTCTACATCCTGTGGTTTCAAGTTCCTGAGTTGTTAGTTAAAAAGCTTTCATCCCCTCTACCAACCACCCTCCCCTTGCCTTACCCATTCCAGGGTGGAAGGAAAGATACCCACTTCAGCTATTCATTCATTTAACAGTATTTACTCATTACCTACTACATGCTAGATACTGGGGTAGATGTTATCCTCTTTGCTTCCAAATTGCATTTTCTAATTTGACACATTTAGACTAGTTCTCCAAGTTTTCTGATTATCCTCTAGAATCTGCATCCAGCATCCAATTAGATGATCTCTCTACCTCTAGTGTTTCCTGACCCCTGGGAGACCCAGAGGCTTAACTGCAAACTGGTGCCTTGCTGTAATGCACCTGCCATTGCATCTACAGATTTCAGGTCAACAGAGGTTCAGCTTGGGGTCCATCTGAGGGAGTTTAGTTAGCAGATGAGGCTGCCGAGCTCTGCTAGCCGTCTTACACCATGGACATGAAGAATGCACTGGTAGCAAGGGTGAAATGCCCCGCAAGTTAAGCAGCTAATTTCCAAAACCCCTTGGTTTTCTGTGCCCCTGGCTTCCTACAGATATGCTCAGGAGGAAAGATGCCTCTTTGCTTTTTGAGCTCTCTGGATCTCGCCATTAGATAGCATCTCTTGGCATCTGAAAGGCAGCCTGACATTCTGTTCTCCTGTGGAACACAGATGGCCCAGCCCACGCCCATCACTAATGAGGATCACATGCAGAGCCTTCTCACTGGAGGCTCCCTTCCACAACCCGAGCCCGCCTTCCCCATGCAGGCCAGGCACTGCTGACCATTTAAGTCTGAGAAGGCTGCTTGCTGCTCTCCCACTCACAGAGTTGAATAGAAAATCTCTTAGGCAGGCCTTGGGACACGACTCCCATTCAGCCAGAATTTGAAACATTGAGGATTCAGGGATGGCTGCCAGTTTGTCTGCAAGGAGGAGGTTCGGTTTTCTAGCTGCGCATGGAGGCTGTTGAGTTGAAATGTGAGCAAGCACTGGAAGTTCTTCAGTAGGAACATGATTAGATGGCTCTATAGAGGTTGACCAGATGGGACATCAATTTGTCATTGCTGTGTAATCTCACCTAGGATAATAGTAGAGTTGGAAATAGATAAGAATGTTAAAAGCACTAAAATATAGTAGAAAAAGCACAAATGTTGATGTAAGACAGACCCACGTCTAGTCCTTGCTCTACCACTTGCTATCTCTTTGACCTTGGACTTTACCTTTCTATGCACTAACTCCTTTATCTGTGAAATACGCACAATGCCCACATCCTAGGCTGTTCGGAGGATTAAATGGGATAGCACACAAAAAGGCCTTGACACACTGCCTTGCACCCAGTCAGCCCGACGTGGGAATTCCCTTTCCTGTTTTCTCTCTACAGCAGAAAGTTAACAGATGTGCTCCAGTATGGTGGAACATTAAGGTGAGCTACAAAAGACGGCTCCATGTGAAATTCTATACAATTCTTTTCACTAGTTTTATGCAAAACTGGATTGTTATCTGCGATGTGGGAGAGTTTTGCTTTCCTTGCTGCTATTCCAAGTCGGATGCAGATCTGGTATTTGTGACCAGGAGAAGAGTTCCAAACCGCTAACATGAACCCCAACAAAAGTGCAAAATCTCTTTTGGTCTTCACACACTGTAACTCGTTCCTTTAACTCTCAGAGCTCCCGAGGAAAGACCACCACCACCACTAGCTGCCCTTGAGGGCGCATAGGATTCCGGTTGATCCCACTATGTGTAGGTGCAGTCTAGCTGGTCAGTACCCACTGATTCAGAAATTCCTCTGGGAGTCATTCTTCATTCTTTCAGAAAACAAGGGACACTTGTGTGCTGCTCAAAAGGAGGTAATAGACCTATTGATTGAACATTGATGCTTACAAAAACGGTTTCAACAGCTTTTAAACATGGTGGGTCAATCACTGTTTGTTCCTCCCCAACCAGGTCAAGGCTTTTCCTATAAGTGCAGGTGGCTCTCCACTCCCCCACAAGGCAGCTCTTTCCAGGTTAGGCCAGCTAGCTCCAAGAGCAGTCGTTGCACTGAATAAACATTGACCCTTTCCCCAGCTGTGTTCTTTAGACCCAGTCCTCTCCTCTGGAGCTATACAGATGAAGTCTGATCCCTGGCAGCTGTCATGTTTTCCCCTTATTTTTCCCCCAACCCCTCCTCCACTCAAGGAACAATGAGGCCAGATTCTTGATTCTTGCTTGAAGACATGTAGAGGGAAATAATGAAAGTAGTTATGCAATCACATAGAAGAAACTAGAAAGAGTGTGTTCAGAATAGAGACTCCTTGTCCTAGAAAAGTACTATTTGCAATATGACTGCAGAGGGCAGTTACCTGCACGTTCCCATCTCCACAGAGAACAAAAAGAAGGGATGGTGGGCTTAAGGCACTGTTTCCAGGCAATGGCTGTTGACAGACAAATAAAGCCTCTCTAGTTCTTTACCCTGAGTTCTCAGCACTAAGCCTCTCTATGTACTTCCTAGAAGGGAACCCAGCACTTGACCACAGAACTCTTCATTCGTGGAGCATTTTATGGACACCAGTATAGCGTGAAACACATTTTAGGAAATTACGGCTTTGGATATGCTATGGAAACTTAGACTTGATTTTTGAAATAACTTCCTGATTGATTATCGTCGGATCCTGGAGCTCGTGGCCAAGGGCCACTGTGAAGTTTCCTTCCTCGGGGGGCTGGTGGACTCCTCGTCTCTCCCTCTTCCCTCTGATCGCTCCCTTTAACCTTAGTATTGGGCAGCCACCTACCTGGGGGTACTGAGGCGTAGGCTGGTGACACGGAATCTGGGAGTCCAGATCCTTCCCATCCCCAGATTCTATTTTTATGAAGCCCAGTCACAGTAGTGTTCCACGGAAGGTACAACCTAGCCAGGACAGGAGGTAACTGGGGGTTCTGGCCAAGAGGAGAGAGAGGGGGCTAGAGATGGGAAAACTTGATGCAATTATTTTTGGCAGGAGTTGGAACCAAAGCAGCAGGAGAGAGTAAGTTTTAAGACTCTCTGGCAAAGTAACTTCCTAATCTGTCACTGGGTATGTGTAAAAAAGTGATTAGTGGGTCTCTATATTTATCATGATTACTCACAAATATGTAATTTACATAATATATACAGCACATTAAGTACTATGTCACCTTATATAATGTGCATATGTATAATGTATATGCATGTTATGTAACGCCAGTCTGGAGGCTCTTCCAGATTCTGCCAAGTATTTCCTAATTTATTTGGCAATTTTAACATATCTTTTCCATCTGTGGAAAGAACTCTCTTGAGAGGAGCTGGTCTCTGACCTGAAATATAATCATCCTACTAAGTCTATCTCCATTCTCAACTCGCTGGAGGAAACCCACAAAGACCAAGTCATAATGAGATGCAGCTCCTAGCCATTAGTCCAGGGACAACATACTCTATCGAAGATTTCCTGTTTCTGTTTCATTCCTTTTATTGCCAGGGGGGCAGACGTGTGGGGGCAGGTGAAAACATGTCTGTGACATGGCCAGAATCAGAACAGGATGAGGAATAAGGGAGGATTCTCCCCTGACTGCCTAACTTTGAGACGGCACCAGGTCTTATTAAGCCTCGTTTTCCCTCATTATTTAGATGAGGATAATAACCACCTTTTCTGTCAACCTCAGGGGTTGCTGGGAGGACCACTATGATGAGGTGTTCTATAGGAACTGAAACCACAGTCACAGTAGTTAAGGGATGAGTTGCAAAGTCAGATTAAACAACACTAGACTTACTGAGGTTACAACACTGAAAGTGCAATTCCACCGATGTTTGCTGTACTCTGTGGCTCTACGGAGGACGTGGGACGTGTCTCTCAAGCAACACTGCAAGTCCTATGCACTAGAGTGGAGCAGGCAGGGGCCAGTCTCTGACATGTGATCTTCGAGCATCAGTTTCACCTGTTGACAGTGCTGTGTCTCAACAGCCTCAACGTTGGGACATTGGGGCTGGAACACACGCAAAAACTTCTGTAAATGTTTTAGAATCAGTGACCCTTGCACTGAACCTGCCTTCATTTCAGAATCAAGTGGTTTCCAAGATGGTACCTGTTGTTCATTCTGGGGCTTGTTGGTCCCATCACCAAGGAGCCCATCATTCAGGACATGCTTCAGGCCGCCTATTTTCCCTCTGCCCAGTGTTCTGCACTGTTAGGTAGAGCAGGTTGATTCTAGATCTCTGTCCTAGACTGGTCCTAGCGGACTGCTTCCTCCAGAGTTAGAATCAATTTGTACATGCAATCTTAATCTTCCCTTTCTTGTCCGAAGTTCCTGACCCAGTGAAAGGAGACAGAGGGAGCTCAGTGGAGTGGTGTTGAGTGGGCCCAGCTTTCCTCTTGAGAAATCTCAGAGGGGATGGAGGCTGAAGGAAGCAAATGCGCCAACAAAGCTCTCCACAGACGTGCCCTCAGGGAAGGAGGTCATGCTGGCGCCAGATGAATGGAGCCCACCGAACTGAAAGGTCATGCTGGCTGGCAGCGCCCGGCAGGAGGCGCCTCTGCCCTCCTCGTGACTCTCCACTGAGGCCATCCCTGTCGCCAGGGGTGTTTCCAGATCAAGAGACTGATGACCATGATGAGGTGACATGTGGAGAGTTTAATTTGATTATCTTCTAGTGCCTTCAACCCTGGACCAAATTCTCATCAGTTCAGGCTAGAGAGAGTCTCTGAGAAGCATCGGGTGGCCCTCACTTTCTCGTGTGGGCTTGTCCCGGCCACACGTGGGTTGCACATTCATTCTTCCCTGGCAACCTGGATCCCAATGGAATCACTTCTCAGTGACCAGAAATGACTCTATTCCAAGATATGTGGGTGCTTTTCTCTATTAAATCTCTTCTCAGTGGCACCTATTCCCAAGCCACATTAGCCAGGATACCACGGACAAGTTCAACTTTTCTGAGACTCAGTTTCCTTATATGACAAATGGGAGAGTAAATCCTGCCTGGCATATCTTTCATGGTTGTTTTGAGGATCCAGAATAGAAATTCTCAGTCTATTTATGATAAGGAGCTACTTTAATTTCCCTTAAATCTCATGATCACCACAGGAAATTGACAATGAAATGGAAGAAGTGGGGGGGGGAACCTTCTTTTTGTTTCTCATTTTCTGTTCTTATACTTTTTTTTTTTTTGCAATCAGGAAAAACCCACCAGTAAATAAATATCTATACATATAAATATATACACTATATATATGTACACACACATAGGACCATCAGAAGGGCCTTGAGGTCTTAATCTGGGAGCGGTAGGTGCAAAGAGGCAGGAGGGAACCGCCTGATGGTCTGTCTCCTGGTCTCCTCGGCAAAAGGCCCTTCCCTCCCATCTTCTTTGCCTTCAGGAATAGTCTGCCACCAGGGCTTGGAACTCAAACAGGAAACAAGCTTTGGCTTGAAAAAGAAAGAAGCTGGGGGTGGTTTTTTTTTTTCTTCCCTTTTTACACAATATTATGACACCAATTTGAAAAATAAATTCCAGTTTCTCCGCTTTCCCTCCCAGGTGTTCACAGAACTAAGAAAATAAATACCACATCTAAGGTGCGCTGTGCAGGCAGCTCCGGGGCTCTGGAAGCCGGCTCTAAACAAACACACAGCCACCAGCAGGCTCCGGGAAAAGAAGCAGTGCCCACCGACCGCGCGCATGGCCGAGAAAGGAAACGCAGCTTTCCTCAGACTTTCTGCCTCCTCAGCAAGTTCCAGGAGAAGCTGACTGTCGCTCGAAGGACGAAGGACAACCGACCGACAGAGCAGTCGGTGTGCGCGGGCTGAGCCCTGCCAAGGGTTGTGCTCTGAGAGGCGGAGGCTGTCTTGTCTCCGCACAGAGGGACCTTTGTGCAAGCTCTCTGAATGTGAGCGCTTTCCCTTGGCCACATCCGATCTTACCAAAGGCAGGAAACCTGCAGCCTGCTCCTTGCGAGGAAACCTGTGGGGCTAGTGGAAAGAGAGGGGGATTTCTTCTGCGGTCTCAGGAAGTCCCTCTCAAGGCCTTCAGGGAACGTGGAGGGTGCTGCATGAGCCAACCACATCCGGTGGGCCCTAAGTCCTTTCAACACGTCCCGCCGGCACTGCCTTTGTTGGGGGGTGTCCACTGTTGTAAGAGAACGGATGTCAGGGTGAAGCTTTCTTCCTAGAGGGTGGCTTTGCTTCCACTGGTTAGAGAGTGTGGCGGTGTGGTGTGATGTGTGTGCGTATGTGTGTGTGTGTGTTTCAGTTTCTTGCTTTCTCTCTTGGCTGCACTGGCGTTGGGCACCTGGTCTAGTCTTTTGAACGGCTCTTCTTCCTCAGCGAAAAGAAGCTGCTCTTCTGGGGAGGCCCCATCATCATAGGTGCTTGGTTCTTGTGAGTGATTTTAATCTAAAAGCAAAGAAGCAGAGATGAATTAGTGGCCTGCCAACCCCAAGAGCCTATGAGAGAGTGAGCTGCAGAGGGAGGAAGGCAGGCCAGCTTCAGGCTGGAAGGAGCCCCATGCAGAAGGATGACTGTCCTTGAACAGCTTCAGAATTGGCAACTGGACCCTGACTGGGCCTGGGGTTTGGCACTGCTGGGAGTTGGGGGCGGAAACACTGGGGAGAGACAGGTGTGAGCTTCCTACGTGGTGATCAGCTCGCACCTGTCTCGTGTCCTCGCTATTCATAGACTCAGAATGTCACAGCCGGAGGAGAACTCAGGGACCATCTCATTCAACCCCTCTGCAGGACAGATGAAGGAATGGAGATCCCAAGGCTCTGCTGAGCCTCAGATTAGCTTAAGGTCGCACAGAGAGAGGCAGAACAGCCAAAGCCCCGTTCTTCAGATTCCCGTCCACCCCTGCTCTTGGCCCTTCCTGCCTGGGCAGTGCAGGGATGTCAGCTAGTAACTCAAAACTGACTTGCAGCCTTCAGTCTGACCTCTGACCCAAGCTCCACTCACGTGGAAAGTTTCCAAGTTAGTCTCTTAGGCATTTCTTTTTTAGTTTTCCAGGGGAGCCCCAACTTTCTTTTTAAAAGCTTTTAGTTTTTGAATTTTATGTTCAATGAGTCCTTTTTCCCTGCAAACTTTAAGTCTAAAGTGTAAAAGACACTGGTGAATTCTCATTTTTTTGCCTTGCTTCCCAGCTGTGCTCTCAGGGCATGGCTTCAAAATGCTTACTCCCTGTATGACCTACCTGGTGATACTGAATGGTTGATAATCTGCATTGTCAGTCCATCAACGTTTATCAAGTATGACACATGTTCAGAGTAGGAAGATGATGTGGGGACAAGAGGCACTTAAGATTCAAAGACCTGGGTTTGGGTCCTAGTACTCCCACTTCTTTGCTGTGAACCTTTGGACAAATCATGTCACCTACAAAACCAGTGCTTGCTGAACAGGGAAAGGAGAATAATCACAACTGTCCTATTTTTCTCACAAAGTTGTTATGAAGGTCAAATGGTAAACTGTCAATGACAGCCCGGTGTAAACTGGAAAAGGGAACGTACCATTTAAATAACTGTCATCTTACATTGGAGGAGGAGAAAGATGTATTTCAAAAGAAACAGAATCTAGGAATCCATTCTCATGATCTTTACCATCTATTGAAATGACCACAGAGAACAACAGGAGAGCTCTTGAAGAGACTCACCAACAAGTTTAAACTAATGGAGGACAAACCGAGTGGTGTCAAAAGGAAGTGAGGTAAGCAACGAGGAGAATTTTAAGATCTGAAAGGAAGGCAGACTCATAGACATAGAATACAAATTTGTGGTTGCCAGAGGGGAGAGGGGTGGGAAGGGACAGACTTGGGAGTTTGAAATTTGTAGATACTGACAGGCATATGTAGAACAGATTAAACAAGATTATACTGTACAGCACAGGGAAATAAATACAAGATCTTGTGGTAGCTCACAGCGAAAAAGAATGTGACAATGAATATATGTATATTCATGTATAACTGAAAAATTGTGCTGTAAACTGGAAATTGACACAAAATTGTAAACTGACTATAAGTCAATAAAATAAAATTAAAAAAAAAAAGATCTGAAAGGAAGGGAAGGAAATGTGTTGGTGAAAAGAGAAAGGGAAAGGCACTGGGTAGAGGGGCCACATATGAACTGGTTGAGTGCAGGGCAAAGGGTGAGAAATGGGGGTAATGGGGAACCATGATAACTTTTTCAGCTGGGGAATACCATGATGAAAAAAGAGTTTGACGGGAATTATTCAACAGCTGTTGTCAAGATGAGCTGGAGATGGGGAGAGTCTGGCTAAGAGGGTTCAACTGCAAGCCAGGTTTAAATTTAAGCCCCTGGATATAGAAAGAAGAAGATGGGACCAAAAGACATTTTGGAAAATGAGCATAACCTGTGTGATGGAAGCTGAAGATGACGGTTAGGTTGGTTTCCACCAGCCTGGAGACCTAGGAGGGGACTAAGTCTCTGTTTGGTGGTAGTCACCAGTGGGGCACACCAAGAATACATCCAGCACCGTTTTGTGTTGTGCCTTATTCCGGACATTGTGTTCATCCTAGAATTCAGGGAAGCGAGGCACAGACTGGGGGCTCTGACACACTTACCTGTGGTGTGCAATTTAGCACCATCTGATGATAGTGATTTGTGGCACATTTCCTTGTGGTAAGTCTTCTCCCACTTCTGAGCACATGAACTCCAAGAGGAAGAAGAAATTCACCTTGGTATTCCCCAGGCCAGCGCAGTGCCCATACGCGCTATGGAAGGGCCGACTGGTTAGCAGAGCCAAGAAGAAAGAGGGAACATCTTGGCAGCAGAGATGTTTAGGGCAGAGAGTGGCAGCTGGTGCACTGTTGATATTTCCCGCTGATGGAGCCCATTTTTTTAGATGGTAGAAGACCTTTGCTTCTCCTTTTTCTCCCTTTAGCTGACCAATTTATTTGCTTGTTAGCACCTCCAGGGAAAAGAGGAGGAAGTGAAACTCAAATCCCTTCCATTTGGGTTTTCAGCAGTTTTGACAAAGGTCTTGTTGGGGTAGGAGCTTGGAGGTGCTGGGTAACATGCGATTCTGATGTAGTTGTGGATTCTAGTACTACAGAGAGCTGAGAGTTCACTGTACATACGTACACTAGGGGCAAGAAGTATGAGATCATGTCCTCATCTCAAGTCAAAGAAATGTCAGTCTCCTACACCCTCATCCCCATATTAGGAGGGGCTAGTGAGCTAAACACTTGATATCCCATTTGAGGAGGTAGTTGGATGTGGTGAAACCTGCCTTTTCAGCCCCTGATGGAAAGAGAGCATCCCACATTTCTGTAGTCAGAACCCAAACTTCTCTGGTCATAGGGCAGGTCAGGCAATTAACTGAAGTCTGTTATGATTGTCTTAAAAAGCTTTCATAACATTTATAACATCTGACAAGCACTAGGGATGGCAACCCCATGCTCTTAGTTCTCTGCTCTATTACAGAGAAAATTGGTACAGTAGACGCTTGTGTGATAGCTCAAAATTCACAAACTACTGAGTGTAAAATTTCCCCTTTAAAATGGAGCAATTTATAAAATTTCACTAGTGCTAGGGGTGGACTTTGTTTTGGGGGCCCTTTTGAACAAACTGACATATTTTTATTACTTCAAGAGAGGCAAGAAGCTGAGGGACTCCTTCCTGAACATTGCCCTCTCAGGGCAAGTGATTTGGATTCCGCCCAGCAAAGTGGCCAATGGCCACAAGTGTGCACCCTTCCCAAATCACGTGGGACATGTCCGGGTCTGCCCTAATTTCAGCTGGAGATAAACAGGCACAAACCTGAAAGGTCGCACTAAGTCTCTGTGGTATTTAAAGAGTTAAGGAAATATTTCTTCTTAAAGGGAGCCTAGGGGAGCAGGGAGGGGGCGTGGACGGTCTTTCAGGTCTGAGCTACTTTGGGTTCAGGTTCTCCAAGGTCTCAGGATGCCCTGCTTTGGAGGAGTGTTTCCTGCCGTCAGAGGCTTTCAAATGTAGCTGGACAATCAGGTTTTGCTAGGAGTGGAAGAGAAGTCTGAAATTCATTGAGAAATCAGGACATTTGACTAGATTATTGGTTCTCCAAGTGTGTGGTCCCTAGTCCAGCAACATCAGCATCTCCTGGGAACTTGTCAGAAATGCAAATTCTCGGGCATCCAGACCTACTGAATTTGAAACCCAGCAATCTGTGTTTCAAAAGCCCTCCAGGTTACCTCACTGCATACCCAAGTTAGGGAATCACTGGACTAGATAACCAGAATTCTTTCTGAGATCCTGTAACTCTGGGAGAAGAAGATTTGTAATTTTCAGGCTCAAATTATGCTACCTAGCTGTGATGGTAAAGCATGAGAGGTCATCTTACAGTGCTGTTAAGCACAAGGCACGTTTTCTTTATAAAGTATGTTTGTATGTATAGACAAATATATACTCATTTTTGAGAGTTTCGAAAATACAGAAAAATTTTAGTAACACCTAAAGGTAACTGCTGTTAACTTTTTGGTATATATTTCTCAGCTTGTTTCTCTGCTTAGATGTTTTTAATAAAATTGCAATCAGCTTCTTAATCTGCTGTTTTCACTTAACATTACAAGCATTTCTGATGGCTTAAATATTTATTAAATATGATTTTCAATGGCTGAAAATTACTCCATTTGATGAATCTCACATAGCTTATTTAACTCTTTCCCTAAATGTTTAGCTTTTAGGTAATTTCCAATTTTTTGCTACTATTAATAATACAGAAAATGACATTCTAATCATCCGTCTGTATTTCCGATAATGTTCTGATAATGTGTGTTTTACTTAGAATAAATACCTAGCAGTATATGAGTAATTCTAAGGGTCAAAGTAAATTAACTGGAACAAAGTATATTAATATTTGCAAGGGTCTATTGATACATGGTTCCAAAGCTTCCCAGAATGGTTATATCAGTTTATACTCTGGCCTTGCTGTTTAAGTGTGCTGATCTCACCACAGCCTTGACAGCAATGAGTATTATTATCTTTAACAGAAAAACAAATTGTGCTAATTTGATAAGTGAGAGATGGTGTGGCTTTCTCACCATTGGTCTGGTTTTCTTTTTTAAAATTAATTTTTATAGGGGGAAGTAATTAAGTTTATTGATTTGCTTATTTTTAATGGAGGTACAAGGGATTGCACCCAGGACCTCATACATGCTAAGCACGCTCTACCACTGAGCTATACCCTCCCCACCTTTCTCACTATTTTAATTTGAAACTTTTCTCCCCTTTTTAAGAACTGTGACATCAAATATTATTTCACAGGTTTATAAGCCCATGACACTTCTTCTGTGAACTGTCTGTTCACCATTGCATTGTTAGTATTTTCTCCTGCTGGTTTCTAAGAGCTCTTTATACATTATAGGAATTACCCTGTTCTTTGAGATAGCTATTGCAAACACCTTGTCTATAGACTTGTCAATATCTATATTCTTTCTTCGAAAAAAAAAATCTATATTGATTCTTGACTTAGAATTTTAAATTTGTTAATAGTAAATATGTCACATTTTCCTTAGAAAGTCTTTGCTCACAGTGGAATAACAGTCACCTATTCTTCCCCACAGCTAGTGTTATTTAATTCTTCAATGGAATTGGAGGTTTTTTGGTTTTGTTTTGAAGCATAGTTTGAGGTGAGAGGTTAGTATACAGTTGTCTCTTGGTATCCATGGGGAATTGGTTCTCAAACCCCTGTGATACCAAAAATCCCTGGATGCCAATTTTACACAAGTCCCTTATGTAAGATGGCATACTATCTGCATGTAACCTACGCACATCCCATATACTGTCAGTCATCTCTAGATTACTTACAATACCTAATGCGATGTAAATGCTATGTAAATAGTTGTAAATACAATGTAAATGCTATGTAAATAGTTGCCAGCAGTCAGCAAATTCTAATTTTGCTTTTTCGAACGTTCTGGAATTTTTTTTCTGAATATTTTCAATTCAAGGTTGGTTGAATCCAAGGATGCAAAGCCCACGGATGTGGAGGGCCAACTATATCATGGTATTTCCCCAAACAGGCAGTTTCTTGGATACCAGACGTTAAACAGTCCATAACTTTCAAATTAGTTTATGATCTTTCCTTTTTTCCTTCATTAGCGTCTATGTATCCTAGGGCTTCTTAGGGCTCTCTTCTGTACTGCTGACTTATCTATCCAATATTGTGCCAATTATTGTGGCTTTATAACTATCTTAATATCTTGAGGGAAGTCCTTCTTCATAGCTCTTATAAAATGCCTTAGCTATTGCGTTGTTTTGTCAAGTTAAAAAAAATCAATAGGGATTTTATTTGGGATCCCTATTTAGAAGCATGGGATGTTTCTAAATTCAGATTTTTTCTTTTATATTCGTTAAGTCTTGAAGTCTTCTCTATTTTTCACAATTCAGTTTGGTATTTTGTTTTTGTTTGTTACCGTTATGATATTTTAATTTTTTTCTATCTATATTCTTCTGACTGGTTATTGCTAGTATACATGAATGCTATTAACTTTTATCTTTCTCTACATCCACAGCTTCATTGAAATAATTTAACTGATGAGGTTTTCAGTTGATTTTATTAGCTTTCTATATACATAATCATATTATCTGGAAATAATGATGGCTTTCTTTTCCAAATAGTTATATTTCTTTTCTGCTTCATGTGTTTTGCACTGGCTAGAACTTCCAAATAACGTTAGCATACATGTCTCATCCATGATTTTAATGAGAATTCCGTTGGTGTTTTACTATTACATAAAATATTAGTTATTGGTTTGAGACAGATATTTTTATTATTTTGAGGAAGTGGATTTCTGGTCTGAATATCCTAAGAGTTTTTATCTTTAAAAATCAGAAATGTTGTGAATGTATTTGAATATTTTGGGGTCATCTATTCATATTATGTAATTTTTCCATCTAAATTTATGTAACAAGACTTCCTTGCATTCCTTTGATACGTTCTTCCTGAGGAGTGAATAAATCTTTTAATATGTTGTTCAATTCTAGCTACAAATACTTTAACTATAATGTTTGTATCAAGTTCATATTTGAGACTGGTCTCCAGTGTTCTATTTTTAAGCACAGTTTTTGTTAGGCATTTATATCTGTCTTAAGTTTATGAAATGGATTGGGTAGCTTTCTATCTTTGTTTATACTATGGAAAAGTTTACATAAATGTTTATTTCCTAATAGTATGGAAGAACTCACCAGTAAGGCCATCTGTTTTAAGATAATTTTGGATCTAATTCATTAAAAATATTTTATATTTCATTAATGGTTACCTAGGATTTCCATAAGATGTTCAAGTTTATTAGAATCAAGATGATTATATATATGTAGTTATATAATGTCTAATAATTAAAACTATTACCATATTTATATTACATTTTTATATACTTTAAATATTTTAATGTCTCTGTCTCTGCTTTTCTTTTCCTCTTTTTGAAATTAGGTTTTCAAACATTTGACATGTTTAAAGAAGACCTAGTTCTAGATCTTCTCTTTATCTATGAGCTTCTTTTTCCTAATCCAAGTTTTATGTCATTTATTTATTTACTACCTGACCTCAAAGGCAGAAACAAATATTTTAAAGCCTTTCAATGCCTGTCTTTCTGTCAATTTCTTATCTATGTATTTTTTCTCAGAATATACATCTACACTGTTTTTCTCAGTATATATTTTGATTCTGTTATTAGATACCTAAAATTTCATGACCATTACACCTCAAAATTGAATGTATTTTTATTAAATAAAAAAATGGCCTTCTTTATTCCACTTTATGGTTTTGGTATATTATAGAAGGTTAGTTTGTCCCAAATTATCATTTCTCACTTTTAATTTCTCTATGTTTGATAAAGAATAAATAAAAAGACATATATGTCCTTCTGTTTTAGATGTACCTCTTTTTAAGAACTATGTCATTGGATTTTAATTTTTAACCCAATATGAGTGTTCTGCTCTTTTAACAGGGGACTTTAACACATTTATGTTTTTTGACATTATTGATATATTTAGTTTTAACCTCTTTTAATAAAAAAACATTTAAATTGTTTGCTTGTTATTTGCTTTCTGCCTTGTGCTACTTTGCTAGGGTTCATAAAATTTAAATTCTTCCAGATTTGAAAGGTGTGTGCCCTGTTTATTAGTTCCACTAGTAGTTAATCTAGTTATTAAATTTTTCTTCAGATTTGTATTTTGTAATTATCAAAGTGAAGAGAGACATGAAAATTTAACATATTTTTTACGATTCCTTCAACAATGTCCCCCACATGCTTTCAGCCTTGGTTAATATAACTGTAGTTTTGGGATCCAAGTTACAAATGTTTACATCATATATATTCTCTTTCAAAGAATGATTTTTGCCATTTGCATTCAGTTGCATAACCTAATTTAGTGGCTTTTTTTTTTTTCACTTCATTCTAACTTAACTGGTTTTAATTTTTACCAAAAGTTCTTTTGTGCTGTGACATCCCACCATTTAGCCTTTAATTCTGAATCACCTCATGATTGGTGTGTGTTTTCAGGAAAATGTTTCAAAAAGGGCACTTTTGTTTTAACTCTTGCAAGTTTAAGAATGACTCTGTGTTACCTTCTGCTGTGGACCGAATTGTGTCCCTCTCAAAATTCATATGTTGAAGCCCCAACCCTTCCATGTGACTGCATTTGGAGATATGGCTTTCAAGGAAATAAATGAGGCTAAAAGAGGACATAAGGGTGGAGCCCTAATCCAATTAGATTGGAGTCCATATAAGAAGAGGACGACACATCAGGAGTGAAGGCGCACAGAGGAAGGCCATGTGAGGCCATGGTGAGAAGGCTGCTCTCTGCAGGTCAGGAGGAAAGGCCTCACCAGAAAGCAACCCTGCGGACACCTTCATCTTGGGCTTCCAGCCTCCAGAACTGTGAGAAAATACATTTCTGTTTTTTCAGACACTCAGTCTGTGAGATTTTGCTAGGGCAGCCTGAACAGACGAATATACTTCCGCATACAGATTTCCATAGACTGCACACCTTACAATCACTGGGTCACAGCTTTTTTCCATAATGACTCGTAATCTCCAAGCGGTGGCATGGAGAGAGAGTGGGGGTAGGAGGAGTAGTTGGCTATTTCAAAACCAGTGCTTGGATTGAGAAGAACAGCAGTCCAGTTTCCAGGTACTACTGAGCTGGGTGGCAGGGGGCATGCTTCCCTCCAGCCCCACCCCCCCTGCTTTCTTTCCCTCCTTTTAGGAGACAGGAGGAGCTTGGCTAGATCTTCCTTAGTTCAGCTCCATCAAAATCATCCGTGGTAGAAACTCCCCCCACCCTTCCTAATTCTAACAACGGGTCAGATATTGTTAGTTTTTGCTATAGTGTGTTTTCATCCTTTACTCAGACTTTATAGAAACCAAAAGACTGAGGTAAGATTTTGTAGAGAAAGTTCTCCTTCAGATAACTTTTACAGAAGACGCCATTGCTTGAGCCTCTGCCCCTAAGGACCAGTTTCACACTCTGTAGAAGTTACATGGAACAAAGAGTTACAGAAATGCCCCTCCGATTCAGGCCCAGCAGCAGTCTCACGAAAACCCTGTCTCTGATAGAAGAAGACAACTTGATGTTCTGAAGGGTTCAACATGACAGGTTAGTAAGACATCTGAATACTCCACTAGAGTGAGGAATTCTCCCCCAGGAGCTCTGGCGGTCACAGCGATGAGGTGGAAGTTCTAGGGTGAGCGAGCAGATTTCGCTTCCACCTAAAGAAGCACTTTCTAAGAATCAGACTTTTTCATCAGCAAAACAGCCTTCCTTTTGGGGTGGTAAGTTCCTTGCCACTGGAGTGATCCAAGTTGAGGCTCTCAAGGCTACTGCAGATGAAGCCTCTGAATTCACCGCCTAGAACTGTGAGCTCCTTGAAGATAGGCCTATGTCTCCTTCATTTTTGGAACTGGCACCTCGCAGTGCCTGGCACATGGCATGTACTGAGTGGCTTGGCAGGTAATGAATGGATGGATGGATGAATAAAGTAGGGCAGAAGCTGTACTAGATGATCTCCCAAAGCCCCTGACACTCTGAGACTCAGTGATTTCATACTAAGTCAGGGACCCAAAGGGGCCCAAAATAAAGCTGCTCACCCTCATCTCAGAGATCGGCAAAACTCACCGTGCACGGTGGCTGCATCCAGGGCTCTCCGTCCACTTGCATTGGCAACAGCTTGTTCGTCCTGGAGCCCCGGAAACAGAGAACAGAGTGAGCTTCCTGGAGTCAGAGGATGAGGGTGGTCTTCACCAGGGAAACAAAGTGGGAAGACCTGATCCGCCCACCTAAGAGTGGTTCTGAAGACTCTCCTGGTGGGCTTCTGAGCCCACCTCAGAAGTACCAACTGGGCAGGTCTGGACCAGGCCCAGGGGACCAGGCCCAGGGGACTGTGTTTTAATAAGCACCATGGACAAATCTGTGGCTTCAGAACTCAGACTCTACTTTGAGAAACACTGCCCTGTGTGAGCAGTGAAGTCCACAGGAGTCTGGGCAACAGTGGCCAACCAGTATGGCAGCACCACAGCTGAGCAGACCCCCCAGTCAAACACACCAGCCGGGAGGCCTGCCCACGGTGCCAGAAATTCCCCTGTGAAATGGGAAGGGTTATGAAATGGGAAAAGGCCTGGGTTCTATGTTGAGTGAGTGGTTGCATCATGTCAATGAGGTAACGTCTCCCACTTATACGAGGTACAGCTCAGGTCTGAGTGTGTCTTGCCTGGCCCCCGATCCTAAACCATCCCCTCTTTTATCTCCTGAACAAGAGTAGACCATGCAATTGCATGGACTGTGGACCTGGCTTAGCTGGGAAAGGGGGCCACTGGGAATATGATCCCCATGGGTCAGTGGAGGGGAGAGGAGAAAGCATTGGTTTCTTGCTTGGGACAGGGCTTCTTTGGCATATGGACAGAGAGACAAAGGAGAAACTCAGGCAGGTCCTTTCAGAGGCCTCTGGTCTGGGTGAGCAGGGAACAGTTGCCACCCACTGACCAGAAAGCTCTCACCTGGGTTTGGCATCTTCCCTGGTTTTGAAATTATAAAATGAGAGAGGCAAGACGTGTTTTGATGGAGATGATTCTCTAACTGACCCTGAGGATATTTAATAATGAAAACAATAAACCTACTAATAAAACAAATAATAAGAGGAGAGAGTAGCATTCTGGCTTGGGGGGCTGAGGAGGCTATCTGGGGAATGCCCAGGAGGACGGGGCCCCTGACTCATCCCCTCTGTTTCTGTCTGGAAATAGAAAATATCTTCTCTCTTATACATGTTTAAAAAAATTTTTCAGGGATCAAGATGCTATATTCTTTGGTCTACATATGTTATGGCCTGGACGCACTAACAGACTGGACCTACTCAGTGTGCAAGTCCTGGGGGAAGGACAGGGAAGGAACCACGGAGATTAATCTGGAAAACAAGGGCCCCAGCACAACCACCACCCAGACAGAAAGAGGAGCAAAGATTTGGGGAACAATAAAAAAGACAGAGAAGGCACAGAATGGGGATGAAGAAAAGGGGTTAGTGAGACAGACCGAGAAACCAGCTCTGGAGACCTTTCTGGAGGATGCAGGGTGGCACTAAGAACAAAGTTTCCCTAAATGTGCTTTGAGGACACTTGCCCAAGAGGTTAAGGGTTACATGGGTTTTGTGTTTAAATAACTTTGGGCAACCTGCATGCTGTGGTCCCCTCTAGGAGATCTGATCTGTAGAAATTAAATGGGACACGGAAAGGAATAAAGACTTCTAAAATAATCAGGTGGAGAAAACTCTGTGACTAGTTGCACTTATTAAAATCAGAAGCCACCAAAATCAGAAGGTCCCCTCCAGTAGACCCCATCTCTTCCAGGAGCCTGCAGTGACTGACCTGGATGGTTCAGACGCTAAAGAATTGTTATCCACTTAAGTCAGTTATGACATGTTGCTGACATTGATGGTTTAGCTCTACAAAGGTATTCAGGGTTTCTAATTCTAATAAAAGTATTTCTAAGACCACCACCCAGGAAAGACCAGAGTAGAGCAGAGAACCTGGTTTTTGCCAAAGTGTGCCCTGTGGCACGCATTTAACATCTCAATTTGTAAAGATAAGGAAGGCAAGGAGTTGGTTCCCTGGGCCTCATAACCTCTCAATCCTATTTAGAGAATTTCACCAATTCATTCTAAGAGAACAGCAAACTGGCTGCGGTGGATTTTCCAGTCGATGTCCTGGGTGGTTGCATTATAACTGGTTTGGGAAATGGTCTCCAAAGACATTCTTTAGAAATGTTATCAAACTTCTGTCCCCAACTCTCCCTGAACGGAAATCCAAAGATGGCTTCCTAGTTGTTATCTGTAAGAATATTAAGGGAGGTGGGGAGAGTGGGAGGCTGTAGGGTAAATGAGGAAGCGTACCTGATGGAGACAGAGGAGCACTGGGCCAGCCTCCTGCCAGCACTCTTCAGGCCAGTGTAGATCTGCCCCATTTCCATGGCTCCCTCTAGCCCCACCACTTCAAGAAGCTGGTCACTGAGGTCTGCAGAGTGAGACAAGTTAAAGCAGTGCACGTATCTCTCTGTTCCCCAGTCTGGTTCAGGCCAGAAGGTCTGGTCCCGAGGTGGCCAACCCAGATCTGTCCATAGCCCTTCATTTCCCACCAAACAGCATTTTCATCCTCATTCTGGAGAGGGAATTTCCCCAGGAGTCAATAGATGTACCTTTTCATGAACAGAAACCGAGTTCTAGTGAAAAAAGGTTTTGATTCAGAAGGTTACCATGCATCCAATGAATAGGCTGACATATCCAGGAGCCTCTTCAAATGGAGAGTAACGTAAATGATGGACTGGCTATTTCTGAAATACTTTTCAACCCCCTCCCCCCAGTGCAGCTGAAGACACACTGGTTTGGGATCAGGATAGGAAGGAATGCTGGTGAAGGTCATTATCCATAGCTGGATCAGGTTTCTCCTCTCTGAATGTCTGAATAACATCTTGGCCCTACTGGCGATGACTGATGGTTAATTAACTGCAAATCTGGCCTGTGGTGAGCCAGTGGTGAGCCAACCTCCTTGGACATCCTTGGGGAAGTCAGTGACCTCTTTCAGGACACCAGGTGCCTAATCGGAGCCAAAGAAAAGAATATTTCACCTACACCAGATGATTCTGGGTGCACAGTACAAAAAGAGGGACAGAAAATATGAGTCTTAGGCTCAGAGTCACCTAGGCTCGAGGGCCTCCCACAATAGCAGTTGCTTCTGATTCAACACCTAGAAGAGGTCCATTTTTCAGAGTTCCCGGGGCTTGGATTGGGCCTGTTCGATTTCTTGGGAAAGCAATGGCAGGATTAAGGTTTGATGTTGGGCCCAAAACTCATTTTCACAACACAACTTCTATTTATTTAAAACAGAAGCAAAGTTAAAAAGGCAGATCTTTTAAAAGCTTCCATTCCTTTGCCTACTAAGGCAAGGGTAATTTTCTCATAGGTTGTGGCTAATCACTAACATCCTATTCACACTCACAAACTAGAAAACTGTTCTGTGTGAATGCTTCTGTTTATTTAACAGATGGCTTCTGTCTTCTAAGGTGCCTCCTGGTATAGTGCGATAGCGTTTATTATGATTGGCAAGGAGGTATTTGGGTTTGTCTTTACTTTTTGGTTTAGAAGACTAAGTATTGTTTAGAAAACATTCTCTTGATGGATATACTGCTAAAGAAGACAGTTAAACTATTGGGCTGACCACAGATGTGACCACAAATGTGTGGCCATCAGCTGCCAACAGATACACAAATTGCATTAGTCTCTCTGTGACAGGCACATAGGTTTTCCCCTCGACACCCATCAACACTCCCATTCTCCTTCTCTGGTACTCCTTTTTGCACATCTGTGAAAAGCTACTGTCTCCTGAAACCCTCCATCTCATTTGGACATGGAACAAGAAGCCATGAAAGGGCAATGTTTGCTTAGGAGAACACTCCAGACTCTTGTAAGGAGTTTGGATCCAATAAACAACAAATGTCTAAACCTCTAGTCACTTAATTAGTTCTCTTCTTACCAAAGCTGAATAACCATTGGATAGTTTTAGAGTCATTTTACAGTGCCTGTGAAATCAGTATGGATTGTGAATGAGAAGGGGGGGGAGAGGGAGGGGGAAAGGAGGAGGGAGGGGGAAAGAGAGAAGAAGAAGGTGGAGGAGGAGGAGGCAGGAGGAGGAGGAAGAGGCAGGGGATATGTGTGGGATATGTTAGGGGTGAGGAGGGTGGGGGAGTTATACTGGGGTAGGAGAATGGAGGAGAAAAGAGAAACAGAACCCTTTAGAAGTTACCCTGTTGGCAGAGAGACAGATGTCTTGTAAAATGTTGCTCTCTGTACCAGGATTTGGTATCTGACAGTGCTGTGATAGTTCAGTGTTTCCCCTCCTTGAAACATTCCCTGGTAACAAAATGTTCTGAGAAGCAGGGGACTTAATAGACTCAAGTGTTTCAGCTTTTTACAATGTCTTGGTCTTTTAACAAATTTTCCTGTTGAATGGCTTTAACTCGAAAAGTTGTTATCACTTCCCACACATTACCTTGCAGCTATCACTTCCCACACATTACCTTGCTTCCTGGCTCCAGAAGAGAAGTAATGCAAGCTGATCTCATCAGCATGGCGGGCTGGTGGGCGGGTGGGTGGGTGGGTGGAGGGCAGGGGCTTACACAAATGTGGGACTTAGAAAATAAGTGCAGGGGAAGGGGCTAGGGTCTTGTCATACTCTTTGCCATTCTGCCTTTGTATCTGTACTCTGCATCTTCTCTGGCATGAAGAGGCTAGGATGACTCCTGTCTACTACTGAAGGGGACCTGACTGCTCTTCTGTTTCTCTACCATTGTCTAACTGATCTTTCTTTCAACTGCTGAAAATGCCCACCAGGAAGTTCTGAGGTAAAGAAATATATTTAACTTTGTTTCCCAAACTTATTGGACCACGAGACTCTTCTTTTGTGTGATACCTATAAACAGCTTTATAGTTATCCAGGGTAGTTTTCTTTGGAACACATTTTGGGAAATTCTGGCATCACTTGTTTCCTGGTACTTCCTCTAGCATACAGATACTTATGCAGAGACTAAATTTGGAGTTAAAATGAAACAGAACAGAGTATAAGTTAATGTCCAGGCACACAGAACATTTAACGTTCAGAACTTAGAATCCAGGATCAGGACGTCTGATATACCAGGTGTCTGTGTCACCTTAGGCACCCATGATTCAGAGTGTGGTTTTGGCAATTCATACTATCTCCATATTGCCTTTAGACTCTTCACCTCATTAGTATTTCAGATGGGATGTCCATGCATCTCAGTAAAACAGGAATTAATTAACTCACTCATTCATTCAACAGTTACTGAGAAGCAACCAAGTGCCAGACCCTGTGTTAAGAACTAGAAATACAAAACGTTCTACTCTTGAAGGACTCTCGGCCAAGAGGGAGAAAAAGTTAACTGCAGAAAATGTTATAATTGAACTATAGGAACAGGAGGCCCGAGTAACTGATTCTGACTGGGCAAGGCATGGAAGAAAGATCTCACAGACGTTCAAGGAAGGTTTTGAAGGATGAATGCCTAGGTAATTTGCTGTGTTAAGAAGGAGAAAGAGGAAGGACATTCCAGGGACAGAGATGATCACATATAGGACTGGATAGTCACAGGATGCAGAAAAGTTTAATTTAGCAGTAAACTCACTTGGCAATTTTGCTGGAAAATATAAAAAAGATTTCTACCTAATGAGAATTACTGTCAGGAGAGTTTTTGTTTGTTTGTTTGTTCGTTTAATAGAACTATAAAAAGAGGGTCTCTGGGCTGGGCACCACCTTGTGACAACCACCTTTTAGCACTGCTCTTGGTAACAAAGCCTTGTGCAGAGCTCTGTGTGCAGCAAACACGTAGTGTACACTCTTCACAAAAGAAAGAAGAGGAAGATTGGGAACATGGGAAGAGGAGAATCTGGAAGGAGAGGTGGAACAGCAAGGGCGACAGTGTAATTCCAGTCTGGCCTCTGGACTCAGCCTCCAGGGCAGGAGTTTATAAATGCAAGTCTGCTCATGTCACTACTCCCTACCAAAAACCCTTCAGTGGCACCAATCATAACGCCACGTGCTGGGAAGACAGGATGAAATGTATATTTTTTCCTACCTCTGATCAGAGTGGAAACTGGTAGAAAACTTCTTGGGGGGGGGAGGGAATTAGGTCTGTTTGTTTGTTTGTTTATTTATTTATCTTTTAACAAAGGTATTGGGGATTGAACCCAAAACCTCGTGCATGCTAAGCACACACTATACCCTTCCCCACCCTCGGAAAACTTTTTAGGAAAAAGTTTGGTAGTAAGAGTCTAAAACTTTCACACCGTTGATTCATTCATTTCTTTCTTGGCACTGATCACAAGAAACAACTGTTAGAATCTAAGTTCATACGAATACGACTATCGTAGATTCATTATAGTGAAATCTCCCCCTCCCCCATTTCTGCCTGTATGAGACTAGTTAAATAAATTACATGGTATCATATGATAGTATTGTACCCTGCTATTAAAATATTTACAAAATTTCAAAAACACGAATTATGTACATGTTATAATGTTAAGTGTGCAGGCAGGATATGAACTCACTTCTGCAGCACACTCTCAACTCTGTAAGAATATGCAGAAGAAAGGGGCAAATTCCTCTAAAATCTTACAGTGGTGAGATCTGGGTAACTAGATTACATGGGATTATAATTTTCTACTTTACGCTTTTCTCGGTGTTCTGCATTTTCTCTAAGTATGTATTACTGTTATCATTTTAAAAAGTCACTTCAAAAACCTATCAACTGCTCTTTATACCTGTAAAGATGCAAATTCCCTGACTTGATGCCCGAGGCCCGTCCCCATCTGGCAAGAAGCTACCTCTAAAATTTTATGTCCTGACACCACAGGGCTAAGTTCCTGCTCCAGACATACACAACAACAGGTAGCTCTCCAGGCAAACCCTACTGTCTCCCTCTTTTGTGGCTCCACCTACATTGTGCCCCTGCTTGAGATGCCCTCTTCCACTTTGACTTGCCCTTCAAAACTCCACTCAAGTGTCACCAACTTCAAGAAGCCTCCCTGGACTTTCATGCCTGCAGTTTGATTTAGCTCCTCCTCCTGAAACTTCCTCAGGTGGATATAGATGGCCAAAGAAAGTACAAGGCGGCTGATGTATGACTGAGGGCAAGAGATGGCTGCTGTAATAATTAACTGCCCCACGAGCTCGAGGTTGAAGAGGGAAGGAGATGAGGGACTGGACGGACGAAAAGGGAGAAGGCAAGAAGGAGACTCGATGAGTTCCAGGAGCAGGTGTGCTGAGCCAGCGGGAGAAGGAGGGTTGGAAAAGTGCTCTGAGTGGCGCGAGGAAACGAGCTCCTTCTGCGGCCCCCCGCAGTGGGCGGCTGAGGGAGAGGGTGGTGACCGGGAGGAGAGCTGAGGAGAAGCAGGCTAGGTCCGCTTTGCTGCATGTTAGAATTACCCGGGTAGGGAGTTTTTAAAAAT